AACTTGATTTGACCAACAATATGTGTAATATGCACAATGTGGGACTATACTAATAAGTTTCCTTGCAGCTCTGTGCTTGATGTGAACAGTATGAGTGAATGAAGAGTACAGATATAGAGGACAGCTCTTCTTCTTCCCCATCTTAATTAAATACGTGCAGCTTGAACAGTGTTGTTCTTGGCTTGATTAGAAACTTTTGTCAAAATTCCACAATATTGTGACAATAACTTGATTCAATATAATCCACTTAAGCTAAGAATACGGTCAGATACAGATATATAAAAACACAAAAATACCAGAATACAGATACTTCAGACAACAGCCTTCTTGTTGTGAAGTAACTCATCGCCCTCTGTTGGCCAAACAGCATCAATACAGGGAACAGAAACTCAGTATACAAACTGCACCGCAGAAACCCCCTTTAGTGACACAAATGGAAAAACCACAGAGTGCCAATTTAGATCTTACTCTGTGTTGTATTAAATGCCATCAGCAGACCTACTCTGTGTAAAGTAAAACTTCTTCTATAATTATGAACTTTGTGAATTAATTGTAAACTTCCATAAACACACACGTACACACGTTCACATGCACGCACACACACCAGCTGAACAATATGCAATTACCATTACCCAAAATTATGTCTTTTTGTAGCCAATTGATTTGGAAAATACTGTTGTTTTCTTTGGGACAGCAGGCATCAATGCTCCACTGAGCTCGACTAACACTGAACTTATTCCATGATGTCATCTTGTTTCGCATTTCTTCGGTTATGTTTTCTTCAGTTAGTTCTCATCAGCTTTTCTAATAGGCGTGTGCTAAGTTGAGATTAGTTTTCATTAAAAGTTCATTTATATTAATTAATACAAACAAAGGCAAACACACAAAACCCCCCAAACGAAACATTAAAACAAACAAAAGGCACATTTTACTTTTACTTTACACACATATTGCTAATGAATGTAATTTTTAAACTTTATTCAAAGAATAGTAGAATGACCATGATTAGTAAAAGAATTTCCCGGCACATTACTACTGATGGACACGATTTAACACAACATCTAGTCTTATCTAGCAGAAAAAACAGTTAAATGTATTCATACTCTTAAGATTTTTGTGGGTTTTGTATGAAACGCAATGATTAAATGAAACGGCTGGGGCAGCAGTCGTGCGGGGAAGTGAAGGAGGACAGACAGTGGCGGTGATGCAAGTGAGTTTATTTACAGTGAACGATAAATAATAAAAACAAGGGCAAAACTAAACGTAAACCTAAACTGGGAAAAACTAATGACAAACAAACAAAACCTGAAACCATAACTCACAGAATCACATACAGGGGAAACCATAAGGAGGTTACGCAGGGGATGGAAAGCAGAAAGAGGACCAGAGAGCTGCGGAGATTACCAAATAACACAGACGAACCGACAAGGAACACAGGCAGGCACACACTATAAATACACACAAGGTAACGAGGGAATGACACACCAGAGGGGAACACAGCTGAACTAATTAGACACAACAAGACACAAACCTTCAAATTAAAACTCACAGACAGTTTTGCAACACAAATTCAGGGACACGAACAGAGCAGGTAGAAATAATAAAACACAAGCCCCAAACCATAAGAAGTAATACAAAATAAAAATTAAAACAAAACATAAAATGATACCAAAATGAAACACAAAACACAGGACCATGACATTAAATTATTATATTTAAATGAATGTAACATATTTCTTTTATGTGCAACTATATAAAAAACGTGTTTACATCCTTCCAACAGAAGACGCATAGTATTTTCAGGCCAAGAAACAAAACAGCCTGGTTAATGAAAAGTTAATAAATCAAATCTATTATGGTGGTTTAGAAAGGCTAAATAACCGATGCTATAGTTTTTCTGGTGAGGACACTTATTTGCAGAATTTGAAGTATATAAAAATCCAGGATTTATTCAGCGGCGGGTTTCTGGTGCCAGCAATAATAAACAGCACGATGACAGAACACTCAGAATTTCTTTAAAATCACATTGATGGCATTCTTTGATATTAAAGAAATTTGTCTTGAACTCAGGACCTTCTTGCTGTGAGGCAACAGTGCTAACCACCCGGATCTTGTATGTTTGGTTCTATATTCTCTATTATTTAGACTTCTGGTTTGGGTGTTATGTTTTGGTTCCTGGGCCTTATGATTGGTTTTGTGATCTGTGCCTTTAGTTCCCTGATTGCATAGTTGATAAGTGAATTACCTGTCAATCCACTTTTATCTCGGTGTTTGCTATCATCTGTCACTGTGTCAAGTTCGTATGTCTTTGGTTTTGGTTCTACTTCCCGTCCCCTTATCTGTGATTAGTGTCAGCTGTCCCCCTACCCTTTGCCTGTTGCCTCATTGTCATCTCGGTGTAAATATTATCTCAGTCGTCACTTGTCATGTTTCCCTTTTGCTGTGTGCATTCTGTATTCCTCCAACTTTGATGGTGTCCTTGATAGAGTGACAGTTTTTGGTACCTGTGTTTGACCTTCATGATTTTGTACTTTGTTTGTGTTCAACAATAAAGCTGCTTTTCAGTTTGTTCCTTTTTTCCCTTTTCCTGTATGTTTGAGTCCAATTCCTACCTGCCACACACTGAACCTTTAACAATAATCTTTATTTCTATCAGAAACAGAAACTAGCAGAGGCGTGACTTATAATTTGTGCAACGCTGGCTTTAGAGAAGGTAATGATTCAGTAAAAGGACTAGATGTTACAATCTCTGATAATGCATTGCTTTAAATGGAGAAAATCTTCAGGGATGGCTGTTATGAGGAAAGCAGGCCAGAAACTTTACCAGCGGCAAACATTGTTGTGTGCCTCAACTTTTGGTCTTTTACCCAAGATAATCTGACATTTTTCCTTGGTTAGGTTTAGGGATTAGAGATCTGATCTACATTATCATATTAAAATTTTGGACACATCATCAGTAGTGGACCTTGGATTCATCAGGTGTTTCGGCCATTATCACTAGACACCCTCATCCAAGGAGGCCCTGCCAGGGTTGATCAGGCCCCAGAGTGTGTCAATGGTTTATGTTAAATTGTTATTCTCTTCTTCATTCTTCTGTTTAGTTTTCTACTGTTTATTTTCTTCTATCGATTCACTGCAACTGAGAAATAATACTTATCTCTTTAGCCTTTATAGAGCCTGTTAGGTTTATCTAGGCACAAACCTATTGCTGGAACAACTGAGACAATCTACTGCAGTGGCAAAAACAACACACAAGACACCAGAGCTCTTTGTGTGATTTCGTGCATGAGGGAGGTGACCGAGACCGAGTGCTGTTCCTGCCGCTTGAACCCCGTCACTCTCGGTCAGCCCCTCCTTAGCACTGCTCTTTATTTTGGTTACATGAATATGTAGTTTCATTAACATATGGCATCTTAAACAGGCATGTGTGTGAACAAATAGTACCAGTCTGTGTGTACGTGTAGGTATGTGGGTGTATGTGTGTACATGGGTGTGTACATGGGTGTGTGTGTGTATGTGTGTGTATGTGTGCGTGTGTGTGTGTCAAAATGTGACCCTGTGAATGACTCCCCAGATAGGGAGCCAGGGAGTCCAGCAGTTCACCTAAACAAAAGTCTCTTATACCTAAACAGATACAATGTGTTTGCCATACCATATACAAAAAAGAGAAGATACGACCTCTGTCGTGACCTTAGGATGTGTGTGGTATGCCAGAAAACTCTGGAAAAGGAGTGAACGTACTCTCATCTCATGGTACACAGAGTCTTAAAGACCTACTAAGGATGAGACATTTTATCAATATGCAAGCGATTATATACCTCTAAGCATAAATGATTATATGTTTCTAAGTACAAATGACAATCATAAAATATAACCCTGACAGAGCCTCACTTCTTTAAATGGATAGAAAAGGTGATAGAGAGAAGTAAGGCAAAAGGGACAAGACAGGAGAGAGCAGAGAGGAGAGTCAGAAGGGGATCGGGCTGTACGCTCTACCTCCCCACTGCCTCCCAGAAAAGGGAAGAAGAGCAGAGGGGAGAAGAGCGGTTAGCTGACTGCCTTAGCTGCCCAAGTGATGTCAGCCCTTTTTAGCCATAGCCAGTGACTGGTTCTCTCAGCAGTGTTAGCTAATTCTCTTATAGCCTGCCGTTGTGCCTGTCCCCTGAACCCAATCTCTCTAAGCAGTTTTGCTGTTGTACTGGCAACAAAGCCCCTGCACCCCACTTCCACCAGGCGCACCTTGATCTTCCAGCCTCGGTCCTCTGCCTCAGCTGCCAAGTTGGCATACCGCAGCTTCTTACGTTCAAATGCTTCCTGAATTGCTCCCTCCCGTGGTACTGTCAGTTCAATGACGTACGCATGTTTTTGGGAGTTAGACCAAAGGACGAGGTCTGGTTGCAGAGCAGTTGTTATGATCTCTGTGGGAAAAATTAGCTTCTGATCCAGCCTCTGAAACAATTGACATTTTAAAACAATTGTAAATCTTTTGTATACCACAATGGCAAAAAGCATTTTTCTAAAGATGAACCTGTTT